CAAAATAATAGTACAAGCAAGTAAGTGATCGTGGATTTGTTCAGACCACTCATGTGCTTGGATACTGCCCAGACCACTAATGTGCTCGGGGACTGCATGCACTACACTCACTGCTTGGATCTTGCCCAGCACCACTAATGTGCTCGGGGAATCGCATGCACTACCACTCATTGTGCTTGGATATCGCCTGACCACTTTTGTGCTCGGGGATCGCTCCGACCACGGCCGTGCTCGGGGACTGCCCCGACCACTGCTTGAATAATTGTTCTCCTTGGCTACATGTGATTTGTACTCACATACGCTTAAGAGACTTTTCTTTTAGACCTTGCTACAAGGCTCATACTTCGTTTTCCAGCAAGCTCCGGGACTACATCAGCACGATGCACCCGCCGGTGCATCTTGTATCGCCTGTACGGCAATTGGATTCTTAACCTCAGCGGAATTTCTTTTTTAGACCCTGGCACCACGTGCCTGCGTCACCTAGGCTCGGGGACTAAGTGGGCACACTTCACCTTATGTGAATGTGTTTGATTAAATTGACCCTTGTGTTTTGAATGGTTATGAGGATTATTAGTATGCTCGGGACCGCCCGACCACCGCTTGACTAATGGTTCTCCTTGGCTACATGTGATTTGTACTCACATACAGTTAAGAGACTTTTCTTTTAGACCTTGCTACAAGGCTCATACTTTGCCTTCCAAAGAAGCTCGGGGACTAAGTGGGCACACTTCACCTTGCGGTGAATGTGTTTATTTTTCGACCCCTACGCTTCTGATGTTTAAGGATGCTATGCTTCAGGATCACTTACATTTCTTTTCAGAAATACAAGTGGGCACACTTCTCAGGACAGAAATCTTTTTCTTTTTTCTTAAGAGCACCATACATTCTTCGGACAACCTACTTCTCCGGTGATGACGGTGGTCGGAGGCATCAAGAATTCAAGCCTTGCTTGTCGGAGAAGGTTAAAATGGCGTGTCGCAAAGATAATACATGATGCTCGGGGACTAGTCGTGGGGTATTAACCCCTATACCCTTACGGCTAAGCTTGGGTTGGCTTTGGATCGATAGTTTCACCCACCCGAAAGATGACGTGCGCCCGCTTAACTTTGATCGAGTCCCGCACAAGGAATCAAGACGGATTTGGCGACCAAGCGGGATCCTCGTCGATTAGAATAGGAATCCTTATCCGCCACATATGGCAATTGTAACCGACTAGGATTAGTTTCAGATCACAGCAACCCCGCCCCGGACTATATAAAGGCGGGCGGGGACCCTCTAAAGATCATCTCTCATTGACATACAACAATACAAATCGGGGCGCATGACGTAGGTATTACGCCTTCTTGGCGGCGAACTCGATAAAACCTCGTGTATGCATCTTGCGTCACCGTCTTGTTTGGGACTTGCGCACCTGTCTGCCGATAATCTACTACCTTGGGCATACCCCTAGGTAGACTGCCGACCATATTTCGTTGACAAGTCCAGACAGACATACAAAGTTTGTGGAAATGAGACACGCTGTCTTCCTAGAGGATGAAATGATGAGGGGGAGCATGGTAGCTCGAGAAATTGACCTTGAAGAGAAGTGGGTGTATGCGCCCACTCCAATGATTCATGAGCCAATTTTCTCACTACCTGCTGTTGCTGCACCAACAGTGCAAGATACTGTGGTGCCACCACCTGTTGTTATTCCGCCTGTGGCAACAATGAATGACGATGAGGAACCTGTTCTTCAGGATCCTATAGAACCTATTGCCACACATGAGGGGAGCAACAACAGCCTCAAACAGAAGATGTGTCAAATGTGGAGGCCCCTAGAAGGTCTCAAAGAGTTAGAAAATCAGCTATTCCTGCTGACTATGAAGTATACAACACTGAGAAATTTCAAATGGAGGATGATCCCACCTCATTTGAAGAAGCCATGAGAAGCGATCATTCATCAAAGTGGCTTGAGGCCATGGAAGATGAAATAAAATCCATGAATGCCAATAAAATTTAGGACTTAGAAATAATTCCTAAAGGAGCCAAAACAGTAGGTTGTAAATGGGTCTACAAAACAAAACTTGACTCTCAAGGGAATATAGAGAGATATAAAACACGACTTGTGGCAAAAGGCTTTACGCAAAGAGAAGGGATTGATTACAATGAGACCTTTTCTCCAGTCTCATGTAAGGATTCCTTCAGAATCATAATGGCATTAGTGACACATTACGATTTAGAATTATATCAGATGGATGTAAAGACGGCATTTCTCAACGGGGACTTGGAGGAAAATGTTTACATGGCACAACCGAAAGGTTTTGTCATGGAAGAAAAAGAACGAATGGGATGTCGCCTAAAGAAATCCATTTATGTATTAAAACAAGCTTCAAGACAGTGGTACTTGAAGTTTGATCAGACAATAAGGAATTTTAGATTTAAAGAGAATGTTGAGGACAATTGTGTCTATGCAAAGTTCAAGAATGGAAAGTTTATCTTCCTTGTCCTGTATGTGGATGATATCTTACTTGCTAGTAGTGATGTCAGTCTACTACTGGAGACAAAGAAGTTTTTGTCCTCAAAATTTGATATAAAAGATCTTGGTGAAGCCTCGTTCGTTCTAGAGATCGAGATTCACCGAGATAGAAGTAAAGGGGTATTAGGACTGTCACAAAAGGCATACATAGAAAGAATCTTAAAGAAATTCAGTATGCATAAATATAGTCCCTCACCTGCTCCTATAGTCAAGGGCGACATATATGGGGATTTTTAATGCCCCAGGAACCAATATGAGATCGATCAAATGAAAGCAGTTCCATATGCTCCAGCTGCCGGAAGCTTGCAATATGCTCAAATATGTATACGTCCTGACTTGGCATTTGTTACCGGGTTACTTGGTAGATTCCAGAGCAATTCTAGAACAGAACACTGGAAATTAGTAAAGAAAATATTGCGTTATTTGCAATGAACGAAAGGTCTCATGATGACGTATAGAAGATCTGATTCACTCAATATAGTGGGATATTCAGATTCTGATTATGCGGGAGATGATAGAAAATCTACGTCTGGATATGTATTCACTCTCGCAAGGGGAGCTATTTCATGAAAAAGCTCAAAGCAAACCGTCACTACATCGTCCACAATGTATGCCGAGTTTGTAGCGTGTTATGAGGCAACGGGACAGGTGAACTGGCTAAAGAAGTTCATACCCGGTTTAAAGGTGGTTGACGACATCTATAGACCACTTAAGTTATACTACGATAATAATCCGGCAGTACAATATGCTCACAACAATAAGTCAAATGGTGCTGTCAAATACATTGACATAAAGTATTATGTTGTGAAAGATAAAGTTCATGATCATGTTATAAGTCTTGAACATATAAGTACCGAAAAGATGCTCGCGGATCCGCTTACAAAAGGCTTACCACCCAACGTGCTCAGAGAACATGTAGCTAGCATGGATTTAAGGGAAAGCCTATAATTCCTGGATAAAAGAATGCCCAAAAGTTAAGTATCTATTTTAGAACAGAGTTGTGTGTGTTGTAGCTGTTAAATCTATCGGCAATTGACCGTGACGATGAAACATGCTCTATGCGCTAATCTGTAATGGAATGAACAAAAGTAAATGATATGAAATTGAAAGATGGTAGGAGATCAAGGGGAAAATTGTTAGGTTGATATCTAATCCTAAACTGGGCTCAACGGCCCAGTTGGGCCTTTGATCCGCACCCTGATCGGGGGCGCCTAGCCTACTATGACTAGAGGGCCCCTGTCACACTGCGCAATAAATAGAGATAAGGGCCGACGGCTCAAGTCACGAGGTTCGCCTGAGCCGAGCTCCTCACCAACAAACCCTAAACCCAATCTAGAGGGCGCGCAGCCAGTGACGGGAAGCCACCAGCCGCGCCGCCACCGGACTGCGTCACCGCGACCACTGCACTGCGCCGCCACCCGTCTTCCCCGACCGTCGCTACCCTAGCGCAGACACCGACTCCATGGCGGACGCGAGCGGATCCTCCTCCACTGCGGTGTCAGGCTTGACACGTCTATCTTCTACCCCTCTCTTTCTCTCGTTATACCTACTTTTACTGTACTAGTAGATGATCTGGTATTCATGATTCTATTCAAGCTAGATCTATGCTCCTAGTGATTCTATATGTTTTTAACAGTTTCATCTCCCAATATGAGGTTGACAGCGCAGAAATAAATGGCTCCAATTGTATGTACAATAAAGAAACCATGACAGGAACTACAAAAGGGTGTCAATAAATCACCAACTCAGTCCCACGTGATGAACATTCGAGGGCCTATGTTTCTGCAGACAAGGCCAATTAATCACCTTGAGTATTTAAGATACTAGCTCATCATCTATGGCTAACAACAATTTGAGAACTTCTTGCAGCGGGTCAAGAAAGATCTTTTGATCCTAAAAGCGAAGATCTATCTAGTTTTGAGAAGAAAAAAAACTCACTATCTGAAAATCCTCCAAACAAACTGTCTGCTTCACATACCAGCAAGAAGGAATCTGTAACATCTTCTGGTAAAGGATTGCCTGATCCTACACTGGAAGGCGTTGATAGTTTTGATAAGCGTGCTTCCTGGTGATGAACAGGCCAACTGCCAACAAGGAAAATGCCCTCGATCAGTTGTGAGCAGATATCCCGAACTCGAGCTGAGGTTGACTGTACGTACTGAAAACCAAGCTTTCACTCAAGGCACAAAACCTGATTGCTCCGAAGCTTTGATTGCACAAACTCCATTTCAGTTCCCATCCAACAACTTTACATTACAGGAACGTTCACGAACTCAATGAAGAATCAATTATGAAAATGAGAAGACTTTGATTGTATGGAGAGAGATATACTAACTAGCAGATAGACACACAAAAATAGAGAAATATAAGATAAGAAGTACGTAGTCGTCGAGAATGACAGAATGAGCGCTAGCTCTCTCGCTCCCGCGCTCAAGACGACGGACGGACGGACGATTGCGTTGCATTGCATTTTGCTGGTTTCATTTCATTCGTCTCCCTCTCCCACATGGAACTGGAAGCTCAACCGCGAGTGCGTCCTCTTGAGCTTTTTCGTAGTTTTGCTATCACCACCATCAGTGTTGCTGTCAGCAGCAGCAGCAGCAGCAGCAGCATCATCAGGATCATACTTCTGCATTGCGTCGTCGTTGCATTGCACGAGCCCGGAAAAGGAAAACAAAACAAACATATATATGCCCATATCATCATCATCATCAAAATTCAAATGTATATATCTGAGGATTTACCTGGATGAGCTTTTTGCAATTTAATCAATCAATATATATTACCTGGATGAGCTTTTGCAAGTTGTGGTGGCTTCCCCTGAAGCTGCCAATCTTGGCCTTCCTTTCTGCTCGGAGCCGCTCCAGCTGCTGCTCATCACTGCGATCCACTGCAGATCCATGATCATGCATGAAGCAGCAGCAGGATCATATCATACCATCAGGCTTGGTTTCTTCATAAATATATATACAGATAGCTCATGCTCAACCTCAACACCAGGAAATTATAATTGGAACGGTCGATCATCCCTCTGATATGAATATGATATCCATGCAGAGACAGAATAGTACTGTAGGCGCTTTGCTTACACATGTTCCGGAAGCGGCCGAATGCAGCGAGGGCGACGGTGGCCAAGGCAGCAGGCACGGCGAGCGCAGGCAGCAGCAGAGACGGCCTGGTGGTGGTGGGCGCCCTGCCGCTGCCCCGCCTCCTGGCCCTGGCCCTCCACAGGCCGTACCAAAGCAGCGCCACCACCTCAAGGCCCATGGACGCGACGGCGATCTTGCGTCGGACGGCGGGGGCGCCCGCGTGCCGCCTCTCTATGCGGGCCCTCACGGCGGCCTCCTCGTTGGCGATGCCGCGCAGCTGCCGGTCCACCTCCGACGCATCGGATCCTGCATCAGACGCGTCGCCCATCAGCTTCCACCAGACGCCCGATGAGGAACGCGCCAGACCCTGCGGCGTGCCCACCATATCGTCGGCCGTCGATGGCTGCCGCCTCATGGTTGGTTGGCTTTGCCTTGGGTAGCTGATCAAGATCACTGGCGATCAGGGTCGTCTCTGCTTCTTGTCTTGTCTGCTTCATTCACAAAGCAAATTAAGTAGGGTAGGACGACAATTTCAGCTCATTTCTTCTCATATCAGAAGAGTCAGAGAGAAGAAACCCCCATCAAGCTGAATATCTCAACCACATTTCTATATTTTGCTGCATCAATCAAATAAAAACTATACCAGTCATAAAACAGCTGGGAGGCTGCCCAGTCATCACTCATCAGCGTCACCGACCAGGCCAGGCCATGCCAGCACAAGAAAGGAAAGAGTTCAAGGACAACTGAGTGCACAGCACGTCAGTGATGCAAATTCAGCTTGCCAGATTGTCATGGTAGGTCAGGTGTGGTGCCATAATCATAACCACATCCAGGATCAGAGACAGATCATCCATTCCATCCCCAACAACAACAATCACAACGACGCACACATTACATACATGGACTGCAACCCCCCACGAATTCAGATCGCTACATCCTATTTTCTCACACTCCAAAACTGGAACAGACCAGGCACCAAGCACGTCGTTGGAGCTCTCACTTCGTTGCTTGCCCAAGGCTGATATAAGCACAATATGAATCACAATTCTCAGCGCTTCAACCAGTCAAATCAAAACCATAATAATAAACAAACACCAATTCACATCAGCACAGGAATGGCAGACGATCAACAAAAAATCCAACACCAAATCATTGTCACACTAATGAAGCCATCAACACTGGTCTTCGTGTCCCAAGCACAAACGCAGCAAGAAAGTGTTACATGAGCTGGAGCAAGCTAAAATATATACAGTTCATGCCATGACCAAAACGGAAACAATCTCTGCTCCACTCCAGTTACAAAGCCCCTCTCGTCCAGTCCACAGCCACACCAACACCAAGGAGGCTCAAGCCAAACCTTGCGAGGACAGGAGATGATAAAACACAACACGCTCCCTCCTCCCAATCCTCTTGCTCAAATAAGATCAGCGACATTCATTGGCATCTCATCAATTTGCGTGCTGTAGTACTGCTCTATATCTCTCAGTATACGGATGTCATCCTTGCGCACGAAATTGATCGCCACACCCTGCAATGCAAACACAAACAGCTTTTCGTCATTACAATCAGCCCAGTATTACATGGATATAACAATTGCAATTTGACAACTGCTACACTTCATACAATAAATCTGGATGTGACACAATTAAGCTCCTCACGGCCAGCACGCATGAACAACTATGTATATTCATTTTTGCCATGCGCCAAATCGACTATTATGGCATCTGGGATGCAGAGAGCACACTCAATTTCTATGCCACGTTTCCTGTCTTGTCTACCAAAGAAATGCAGTGCACATGAAAATTCAACATTGCACAAGCAAGACTCTTTACTTTTTTTGCTGTCATCTACTGAATACAAAAGACATGAAAAACATTTTATTTGATGAGTAATCACACGCCCACAACTGTGTACTTTTTGATTTGGCCAAGTTAAGCAAATAAGCAACAACAAATCTATCAACTGGTGACAAGCCAAGAGGGGATACTAGAATAAACGGAAGCCATAGTTGGTAGCAGAAATTAGAAACTTCACCTTGCGCCCAAAACGACCAGAGCGACCAATGCGATGGATGTAAAGCTCACGATTATTTGGGAGATCATAATTTATGACAAGTGAAACCTGAAAATGTAAGAAATCCGGTCAATACCCCAAGCGTTAGCAAACAATATGAGAACACAAAGCAACAGGACACATTCAATCAGGCAATTCTCCAACAGTGTAAAAGAAGATTCAAATAAAAAATGTCAGAATACTTGCCTGCTGAACATCCAGTCCTCGAGCCCAAACATCCGTAGTTATCAGCACACGAGTTGCGCCGGACCTGAACTCACCCATAATGGCATCCCTTTCTTGTTGGGGCATGTCACCGTGCATAGCTGATACCGTGAAGTTATTGCTGCGCATTTTTTCAGTAAGCCAATCCACCTGGGCCCAAAAGAAAATTTTTCGCTTAGCATCCAAGCCATCAATGATGGCAAGTAAGCAAAAGTTTTGGGAGAGAAAAGCAGGATATGAAAAGCAAAAATACAAACAAGGTACCTTTCTCTTAGTATTGCAGAAAATAACAGCTTGTGTGATGGTGAGTGTATCATAAAGATCACAAAGAGTATCAAACTTCCATTCCTCTTTCTCAACAGCAACAAAGAATTGTTTGATACCCTACAAACATGACATTATAAAAGTTAGTAGCCAAAAGGACATCAATATAGGTCAAAGCATAACTTTCAATGGTATTTACCTCCAGGGTCAGTTCATCACGCTTCACAAGGATCCTAACTGGTTCGGTCATGAACTTGCTAGTCATCTCCAAGATCTCATGAGGAAGAGTTGCAGAAATCAAACACACCTGTTTAAAGGAAAGCAAATACACAATCACGTCAGTTCGAGTAAAAGCCAAATATTTCTTGTCATCGAAAACAGAATTGACAAAAGCACCTCGTTTTCCCATTGTTTCCTCATTATGAAATGTGCCAAATGTGTTGTTACATATCAAGAAGATAAAACAGATAACAAAATAACATGAACTGAGCAAAGGACAGTCAGTGTATATGTGTAACTATGGACGCGTTACAGACTAAAACAGATACAAGATATGCCTTATGTACAATAAGTGGGTTATAGGAAATTGGAAACATGCATGTCGTAAGTCATAGTAATATGGTACACTGAACTTGGTGGCAGATCGGATAATGCTTATGGGAAAAAAAACGCAATTTTCTGACAAGATACAAAACTGAAGACAAAAAAAAGAAGAAGGAAAAACTATCATTTGTGCCCAAACTATAAGTTCCAATAGTAACCTGAAGTTCTGGTGGGAGATATCTGTAGACATCATAAATCTGATCCTTAAAGCCTCTACTCAACATCTCATCAGCTTCATCCTGTATCATCACAGAAGGAATTAGCCCCTCACACATTGAGCAGACAAAATTTTCAAAAAGGAAAATAAGAGAGTGAACGAACCAGAACTAGAAGCTTGATGGCTCTTGTTCGCAGGGTCCTCCTCTTGATCATATCACAGACTCTGCCTGGAGTTCCTGAGACGACATGCACTCCGTTCTCGAGCCTCCTGATATCCTCACCAATACTCTTCCCACCAATGCAAGCATGCACTTGGATGTTGAGGTGGTCGCCAATAGCCAGCATAACTCTCTCTGTTTGGGAAGCAAGCTCCCTAGTAGGCGAGAGTATCAAAGCCTGCACCCTGTGAAACAGGAGAACATAATAATGAAGTTAATTCAAATTCCAGCTCTGCTCTCCTATACTGAAAAAAAAAACATACATGCTCTGAGAAATCGAGAATAAAAACAGGCAGTGCCCTAATTCCTGAGCTGTGCACAACCTTACAGAGGATAAACCAAACAGACTAAATAAAAAGATCCTAGCTGATCCGCTTCACATTATATTTGGGGGAAAATCCTTAATTCGAAAACACTAAGTTACAATCAGCAACCAGTACTTGGTGAACCAAAAAAACAGAATAGATTGGTCGCTCGCTCGCTCGCTCAATAATTTACGTATATATAAGGAAGGAGGATGGTAATAATAATAAAGAGAGATTAGTACTCGCGCACGGCGGTGTCGACGATCTGGCAGACGGTGAGGGAGATCATGGACGTCTTGCCGGTACCGGACTGGGCCTGCGCGATGACGTCGCGGCCGTTGATGATGGGGAGGACGGCGCGCTGCTGGATGGCGGAGGGCTTCTCGAAGCCGTAGCCGTAGATGCCGCGGAGAAGGTCGTCCTTGATGCCCATCTGGTCGAAGCTGCTGACGACCTCGACCCCCGGGGAGGTCTCGAAGGTGAGGTTCTCGTCGTCCATGTTGCGCGCGCCGCCGGGGCCGCGGCGGGAGGTGGTGGGCGCCGCCATTGATGGAAACCCTAGCTAGCGAGACTCTGGCGGAGGAGGGAAGAAGGGGAGAGGACGCGGCGGATGGGGATGGGGATGGGGATGGGGACAGGACGAGAGGAGAAGGACCTGTTTGTTTTGCCGGTGCCGCCTGCGCCTGGGCTTTTTCGCAATTTATCATCAAAATGCCTCGGACGGACAAGGTCGGTTTTGGTTGGATAGAGGGTGTCTGTGAGATTTCGGCAACATCACAAGGTGCTTTGTGGGAAACAAGAGATTTTTTACTAACTTCTACTGTATATGTCTGTCTACGTTTTGGAGTCCGCGCCAGGCCTGTTTGACTCTTTCTTAGATGGGCTGGGCCTTGTCTTGTTTGTTTACAGCTCTATGTTTTGGATTACGGGCTCCGAGCCAGGCATGCAAAGTCCACGTCACCTCACACAACTTTTAACGAAAGTCTGTTTTTTCTCTCTGAACTCTAAGACTAGGTAAACCATCTCCTTGAACTTTTAAAACCATTCATTTTACCTCCTGACCGGTTATAAACGGTTTTCAAAGACGATTTTATCTTTTTCTTTTTTATTTATTTTGGCTGAATCTTTAAAACATCACAGTAAATCACAGAAACATCATAAAATGGAAAGTCCAATTTTGTTGTACTCCATATGAGTAGATCTACATAGTAAATATATAATATATTATGCTTTAGTACAATTTTTTTGCTATATCTTTAGATCTATGTTTTTCTATAATTAATTCATAGCTACAGTTTCTATGGTCTAATTATGATGAAATTTTTATGGTGGACTAATTATTATATGCTTGAACTGTAGTAAAAATTTTATACTCATTGGATCATGTATAACTTAGTTATATATTTATAAATACTTTTTAACAAGCATACACCTAAATAAAATAAAAAAGAAAAAGACAAAACCGCCTTTGGAAACCGTTTATTGGTCCTGTTCGCTTCTCTTATAATCCGTCTTTTTCAGCTTGTTTTTTTAGCCGGAACAGTGTTTTTCTCTCATAACAAATTAGCCGGAACAGTGTTTTGGCTTGTTTTTTCAGCGAAGCGAACGGGGCCATATCCGTCAGGGAGATAAAATGAACGGTCTTAAAACTTCAGGGAGGTGGTTTACCTCGGTTTTAGAGTTTATGGAGGAAAATCAGACTTTTGTAAAAATTGAGAAGATAATGTGGACTTTTCTTTGATAGACTGGGCCTTGCGTTGTTTACAAGGCCAGAAGGAAAATGTACGTACAGAAACGGTAGCCTAGCAGGCGTACAAGAGCTTCCTCTCAAAAAAAGCAGGGGTACAAGAGTTTCAGTAACTTTTTTTTTAGCAAAACAGTTTCAGTAACATCTAAAGTCATAGGTTCGTCTGGATTTAACGTCCTTGTGCTTTTCAGTGGTACTGACGTTACCGTCGATAGCGAGACGTCTGTGGTGACTCCATCAATCTCGTCTCGAGAATTTGCCGGCTCAAATTTTTAAGGTGCTCAGAGATAGAGTTTGCGTGCGTGCGTTCATATAGAGGTGAGTATGCGTCTATTGTGAGCGTCTGTGTCTGCACGTGTAATCTTAAAAAAAACTGTGACATTGACAGTGACAAACGCAATGTGCCTTATTTTATTTAATCATCGTCATCAAGTGCTGAATGGCATAACAAATATGCTATTGAAAACCTAGAGACAATCAGATAAACACTGCAGAACAACCCTTGACTGGAAGATATACATAAAACACTGGCAGCAGCTTGAGCTGCAGTGAAGCAATCTTAGCTTGCTTGCTTTACTTTGGTATCATCTGTCTCTGATGAAAAGAAAATGCACAGTTCAGAAACAAGATTTTACAGCAAACCCAATCCAATCCAATCCAGTCCATCTCATCGCACCAAGGAAGGAACCACACTCTCAATCCTATGGCCTATGCCTTCTTCTAGCCTAGCCTACTATAATAGTAATAGTAACAGGGAAAAGAATGACGGAGCTCGTCAGTCTCTTTCCCTGTCCGTGAAGCTCTCTGCGGCCTGATCCCGCGGCACGCCCAGCATGGCATCGGACCACCGAGCTGGTGACCGGTCGCTGCTGTTGGACGATGACATGGCCTCAGCCCTCGCCTCCCTCACCATCCGGAGCACCTCCACCGTAGTGGGCCGTCTGGCCGGGTCCGCAGCCACACACATCGCGGCGATGTTGATCAGGGCCGTGAGCTTCTCCTCGGCGCCACCGGCAGACACAGACTCCCCTCCGGACTCCGTCTCCCTCTCCTCCTCGCGCACGGCACGCACCCAGCTGGGGATGTCATCGCCATGCAGCTCCATGAGGTCCTGGAACGGTGTCCGGCCCGTCAGGAGCTCCAGCAGGAGCACCCCGAAGCTGTACACGTCTGTCGCGGGCGTGAAGGACGTGGCGTGGGCGTGAGCGCCGCGTACCTCCGGTGCGCGGTAGAACAGGGAGCTCGAGGAGGACGAGGAGTGGAGCTCAGCGTTGGAGGGTAGCAGTGTCGGCACCAGGCCGTAGTCGGTGAGACACGACTCGAAGTCGGGGCCTAGGAGGACGTTGGAGGGCTTCAGGTTGCCGTGGACGATGCTCGACTGGTGGAGGTGCACCAGCCCCGCTGCAACGTCCTCTGCGATCTTCATGCACGATGTCCAGTGCAGTGGCTTGCCCTTGCTGGACGGGCGCGACCCTGCACACAGCATATCAAGTTATATGAGTCCAACAGGAAGCTTGCTTCATGCATTGCACAAATCTTGAATGGAAGAGCAACAAGACCATCACAAAGCGCAGATGATTAGTTATATAACAGCCATGTACTAGTATTGAGTAAGGCCCACAGCTGTGTCTGTGTGAGGCCATCATATTGCCATGGCCCATGGCATGCATCGTCTGACTCTGATTGAAGGTCTCTCCTGCTCAATGCAAGCAGGCAGGGAATGCAGTACCACAGTAACTCGGCAGCAGGGCCGCCTGGACCACCATGTAGATATGTCTGATGATGCTATCAACGATCACAAGCAAGCTCCACCCATCATCTGCCTACCTGTACGCCTGGCCTCGGGGCAGCTATGTTTGTATGCTCCCTGAGCTTGTGCTGGAAATGAGCTAGTTCTCGCTGAATAGCAACTAGTACATGCAATGCCATAGTGGCCACAGGGTTTATTGTCTCAGATCCAGCCATCACAATGCCCTGGCAAGTGAGACAGATAGAGAGAGAGCATGGCCTTCACTTTGACGGACTGCCTTTAACTTAACCTTTTTCTTTCCTTCCGTCCTTCATTCTTTGTGACGACTAATCCAGTTATTTTGGGACCATGAAAGACTCACACTATGGGCGACTCTGAGATCAGTCGATGCATGGTAATGGACAGCATAACCGTTTTAATCAGTTGGTTTAACCAAATGCTCATAGCAGATCAATAATTTCCCTGCTGTTACTGTCTTACTGAACAATTATATGTATAGCTTACCCTGTACGCTAAGAAAGATGGCCATTGAATGCAGGGCATGTGCTACATATTCTATTTACTGGCTAACAATAATAAGACAAAGAAAACATTTCATTTTGCAAAAGGAAAAAAGAAGATGCACGAGAAACTTACATGTGTAGTGACTAGTGAGTAGTCCATTGACTCATCACTCACATGTCACATGAACCAGAGGCACCCATGTTCATGCACTGTGGCCTCTGACTCTTTGTTTGTTTGTTTGTTAATCGGTCAGTCAGAGATACCTCCCTGTTATTTATTATTTTTTTCCTTTTTCATGAGAAGTTCCATTTATACATAATCTTGAGAAGTGACTGTGGAGATGGAGGATCTTCTGTGGCCCATGATGGAGGCTTCCATCAACCATGTGGATCTCCTAATACTAGTAGGCCTTGTTTGGAGCCCATGTATTTACCTCAGAGTGGGTTGGAGTGGAATTTAAACTAAATTCCATCTCTATTAGCATGGATTGAGGTGGATATATGGGTATCCAAACAAGGCCGTAAAGAATGCAATTAGCCAAGGCTTTTCTTTACTCTATTAGCATGAAATGAAAAGAAAAAGGTTTTTTTATTTGCCTTGTTATTTTTCAGTTCACAACCCATTCAAAATGCATAGTCATTAAAATAGGGTTGCTTTCTCCAATTCTGTTCTGGTTTAGGGTTCCTAAATTACTCCAGCAGCTTTTGCCATACCAGTTCCGAATAAGAGAAGAGGCTCGAACTTTAAAGGATTAGGCATAATCTATCCAACTAATAATAATCTCTTGCAGTAGAAGTTGAGATACAAAATTAAATGCACAAAAGGAGTGTACCTTGAAAGAAAGAATTGAGATTTGACTGCAGCACTCGCAGATGCACATGGTGTCTCTTTGAACCCAGAGCACCAGTTCAGCTCTTGTGCGATCTGGTGATACAGTACTAGCGATACCATATTGATCTATGAATTGCAATAGTGCAGAAATGACCAAATTCATGTCCCGTGGGTCTTCACTTGCATGAATGAAGGAGTAACTAGGTAGCAGGCTCTGCTTCCCCTGTCAGTCACATGCACGCCTGATGGCTGGGCAGCCTTCCTTCAAGTTCAATCTTTGTGCTCGTACTGTACTGTGACTAGTAGATGCCAATTCATTCTGGGTTTTAAAGCTCGAGGAGGACTGAACAACCTAACACGGCCCGCCCCAAATATAACCTCATTTACATTTTCCCAAAGTCAAGCTCTGTGATAATCTGACTACTTTCGTTATAAATAAAAGATAATTTCATAATACGTTTCTATTTGAAAATGCTATTTGTCTAATTGTGTCATACTGTCATATTAAGAACCATGAACCATGACCATGATGTGTTCTATCTAATGTGCTTATATATCTAGAACGAGAGGGATAACAGGAAGGTGATGTCCTAGTCTAACTTTAAGGTGAAGCATGAGGCGTGCATGTATGTCCAGCCTACCAAAGCCAAACAGCAACAAATAAAGGCCAAGGGGCCAAAGCGTACTTTTGGGTAACTGCATTGCACGGCAGATCCATGGGAGGTAGAGCTACACTACAGCTACCGAAGGGTGCCTTTATAACTCGACTGCGTGCTCCGGTCCATGAGGGAGATGTGGACTCCTTGAAGGTCCGTCCATCGCCATCCATGGTGAGAGGAGAAGTGACAAGAAATCCGTGGCACTGGCTGGGTCAGCCAATATCTTCTTGGTGATTGGCCTGTTCGCTTGAACTTATCAGACGACTTATCAGCTAATCTACAGTATTTTTCTCTAATAATAAAACAGCTTCAGCCGGCTTTAATACCAGCCGAACAGGAGAGGGTTTGTCCACTTACGCATAAATGCATGCAACAATGTCCGTATGCGTGGTCCGTATGCGTGGTTGGGTGGTTACTGGTTACTAGATAGATCCAACTAGTTTCCGTTTGGTTCCTGCCTGGCCTGGAGATGCTTAAAGAAGAAAAACTCGATACGCGGTGGCTAAACAGCAGCCAGTATTCCGGTCTAAGAAGAGATCTTCTCACGCAAATCGAGTGCCCCACTCTTACACAGCGGCAGCACAGCTCGATGAGATGAGCCGACCACGGACCCGGGACCAGTGCTTTGAACGTGGGTTATGACCGAAGCCACAAAGGGTGAGCCACTGAGGGCTCGAACCCAGACCAACCCGGGGAAGGTACTGAGTCGGACTGACCAACTGGCCAGCCGACCGTTCCTGATGCTTAACGAAGACAATTCATGCGTTTGGATTTGAAAGGAATTACCGTCAGTCTAGTGCATTTAGGCTAGTTTTGGTTTGATTTTGATTTCCATGGGAATGGGAATGGGAATTCCCTAGGGATTGCAACTGGCAAAGTAAGCAAATCAAAGGGACGGACGAGTGGGTTGGGTTACTGACCGTGCACGAGGGAGAAGAGGCTTCCGTTTGGGAAGTAGTCGTACACCAGCAGCCGCTCCTCCTTGGCCTGGAAATAGGCCCGCAGCGCCACCGTGTTGGGGTGCCGCACCCGCCCCAGCTCCTCGGCGCGCCGCCCGAACTCGGCGGCGCCCACCCCGCCCGCCGACGGATCGCGCATCCGCTTCACCGTGACGATGAACCCCGTCTCCATGACCGCTTTGTACGTGCTGCCCACCTCGCCGCGCCCCAGCGTCTCGGCCGACGCGCGCAGCAGCTCCTCCAGGCTGTACATCTCAGCCACGCCGCCGCAGAACACCAGCTTGCCGATTCCCTCGCGCTCCCACGAGAACTCCCGCCCGCCGACGCCGACACCCATGGCCGCCCCGGCTGTCGTCGCGGCCAGCGCCGCCGCCGCTGCCGCGGAGGACGCATGATGATGATGCTGCTGCTGCTGTGCCTGCACGGGCAAAGGAGAGATAGTTAATTATTATATTAAATTAAATAAAAAAAAACCGAGGCTAACTAAAGTCAGTCACTGCTGCAGATGGACCCAATCCGACGGGCCCACCAGGCAGAGAGACGCTCCCAGTCCCACCTGTGCTGCCTGGTGGTGCTCCTCCGCCGCAGCCGCCACTGCGGCGCCGCCACCCTTGTCAACGTCGCCGGCGACGCGCTTGTTCCTCCCGCGCCGCGACGCCATGAGCGCCGCCGCCACGAGGACGGCGAGCACCACCACCCCTGCCACCGTGGCTCCGGCCACGACGGCGGCGTTCTTGCCGCGGCGTGTCTTGGTCCGGGGCGGGGGCAGGGGCGCGAACGCCGCCGTGGCCGCGGTGAGCGGCGCGGGGCTCGGGCCATCGCCCCCGGGGACGCAGCGGACGGCAAGCGGAGCGCCGCAGAGTCCGGCATTGGGGAGGAACGACGAGGCGTTGAACCTGGCGGCGAGCGCGCGCGGGATCTTCCCCGACAGGCGGTTGGCGGAGACGTTGAACGCCCTGAGCGTGGGCTGCCCCAGCGACGGCACGGCACCGGTGAGCAGGTTGCGATCGAGGAGCAGCGAGGTGAGCCGGGGCAGGGCAGCGAGGGACGTCGGGATCTGGCCCGTGAGGCGGTTTCCGGAGAGGACGATGACGGTGGCGCGGTGGAGGAGGGCGAGGGTGGCGGGGACGCGGCCCTGTAGGCGGTTGTCGGCGAGGTAGAGCAGCTTGAGGTTGGGGAGCGCGCGCGGGAGGGCGTCCGGGATGGGGCCCGTGAGTGCGTTGGACTTGAGGCTGAGGACCCGCAGCTCGGCGAGCGGGGCGAGGAGCGCGGCGGTGAGGGAGCCCGTGAGGTTGAGGCCCTCGAGGACGAGCTTGGTGACGCGGCCGGCGGGTGCGCACTGGCGCACGCCGGGCCAGGAGGAGCAGAAGGCGGGCGCCGTGTCGGGGCGCCACGGGAGGCGGTCGGAGCGGTCCAGCGAGGACTTGAGGGTGAGAAGGGCGTCGGCGTCGGCGGCATTGGCGGCGAGGTGGAGGTGGAGGACAATGTGGAGCAGGAGGAAGCACGGCCAGGCGGCTCCTGGTCCTGGGCGGCGAGGCATGGTGAGGGTCGCTGGTCGGTCGCCGCAGAGCGCAGACGGCTGGACTGGGTGGGGGTTTAGGTTTTAGCGATCTTAAGCCAATGGGCGGGCGGCGGCATTGCCTTCGCCCTTGCCTTAAGATGGATTGGCGATTGCTGGTGTTGTAGAGGGAGGAGCTCCGGAGCTGGAAAGGAAAGCAAACGAGGCCGGCAACGGCAACGCCCCGCGACCGCGAGCCGATGGTTGGGGGGCTAAAGCTAAAAAACAGAGGCAATAAGGAAAGGAATGGTAGAGGGGAGGGGAGGACTTTAAATGCTGCTCACGGTCACGGGCTGAGGACGGATAGCCATGACGACCATTGTGACTCGTGAGAGGTAGACGAAGGCTTTGATTGATTGAGCAACAGCCAGTGCAGCAGCAGCGACCACCCAAACCCAGTCAGTCCCAGTGCAGAGTGGGATAGAAAATGGAGTTTGGATCGGCGTCGTCTCTGTCCGCACTCTGCAGATTGCAGAAGCAGCTCAGCCTCGTCCAGCACCACCAGGGAGCCACCGCCCACCAGCAGATGAGGGTTAGCAGGTGTGGTGTGGCTGAGATTAGCATGCACTTTTGCAGCCGCAAGCACGCACACAGAGAGATAGGAGAGGGGGGAGAGCTTCGGAATTAGGGCCGCGTGCGTGCAGTGCAGACCAGTCATTGGGTAAGACGGTCGTAATGACCTTACTTATTACCCTCATCGGGCCTCTCAAAAGCCTGCGTGCTGCCATTAATTTCTTTCTGTGCCTGCCTCGTCCCATACCAATACTACTGCATGTGGGTTGCTCTGCCTTGTCCCATACCAGTACTACTGCATGTGGGTTGCTCACTCCTCCCTTTTTCTTCCCCCAAGACGGCGAGAGGCAACACGGAGAGACAAAGGCCTTGTATATTTCTCCATCTGGCCCAGCACCGCTACTCCCGCAACGGCCCAGCCCAATCTGCCTGTGTTGACTGCAAACAGTCCAATCTTTCATTCACACGTGTTTAGCTACTATGTCGTGCTTGCAAAATGATTAGTTGCTTTATTCTTTTTTCTTGTTGTTTGCTTATCTTTGTTTTTATTTAAATTTAGCTACCCCTTCCTTGTCTGACGCTCCTTCAACCACTACCACATTTGAACATTGTGTTGAAATGTCCAGTTGAGTTCGTGTCCATGTCCTTACCTCTGTAGCATTAGCATGGAAGGCATTTGTGCCAATGCGGCATTCATCTAGTTGATCACCAGCAACATCATTCACCGAAGGCCACATACGCGATGCAAGCAACTCGAAACATTTTTCCATCTCTCAATGCAAACCACCCCTTAGGGTTTCAGTAGGATATAAGGAACCAGCTAAAGTGTATGAAGAGATGGTGACCACTAAAAACAAAGACGCTAGGAAAATTAAATCAAAACTGCGAGAGAGCACTGATATACTATTTCCTATGTAGTGGGTTTTCATCCTAGGGTGACGTGTAGTCAACTTAAATGTACCCTGCAATTGCAAGGTTGTCTCGGTAACGTGAGCACTTGATCTTTGAGAAGGTTAAAACCAAATAACTACTCAATACCCTCTTTTCTGCTACGGTTGTTCGTCGCCTTCTCTGTCGGGGTTGAGCAAAAGAGCCCCTAACAATTCTTCTCAGGAGCACCTACACAATCTTTCTTATAGTGCTTCTACGGAGTTTGCAAGCTCCAACCGTTTAGGAGGCGGCTACCTCCAAGAATAACAAGCAAACCCTCTTGCAAGACGAACACCTAGCATCACTTGATCACTTCCTCAAAGTTTAACACTAGAATCTAGCTTACACTCTCCAAAAACACTTAGCAAGAATATGTGTGTGGATGCTCAACTCTGGTATGTGTACGAGGCTTTGCATATGTCCAAAAGAGGTTCACATGGCTAGGGAACCAAATATATATAGCCCCCCAGACATATTAACATTTACAAACTCATTGGGTTCAAATCGGGAGCACCGGTTAGTCTCCTTGATGCACGGAAGTTGCACTAAAACACAGTTATCAGTAACTGTCATTGTTATTCAGGTGACTTCTCTAGAGGGGCACCGAAGAATTCCATTTAACTTTGTTGTCCCTTTGCCTCACAAACATGTTCACTGTGACAAAAGCTCTAGTGGAACCCTACTATAGTGCACTAGACAAATATGAGGAATTCTAAGCGTGCCTGGGTCACAAAACACCCTCGTTGGACTCACTAAAAGGACCGAAGATGTCACCTAAAGAGGGTTGGATATGCGTTTCTAAAAAAATCCAAGTTAAAATATGAAAACCATTAAAAATAAGATATATTGAACAAGTCTAGGAGTTACACACCTACCAAGCAAATGACTAAAGACAAAAATAAATAAATTATAGTCTCTCCAAGTCAAACCGCACTAATCGTGCATTCATGGCAGTGTAAACCTCAAAACCAATTTTTTTCTCTTTCCAACTCTAGCTTCAATCTTTTGCTAGATCAAGATAAACACAAATATATAGCAAAGTAAAGCACAAAAGGAGACAAAATGATCTGTTCATCGAAGTTCGGGTCTCTACTCAAACCCTACGTCTTTTGTGAGGAAGCCATAAGCAACCACCAGCAGTCAGGCTCTAACCAGGTTTCTTTCAACAACTTTCCTTTATCCACCAATTTGGCATTTTTCTTTTCGAGGACAAGAGCAAAGCCCTCACAAAACTTCCCATGACACTCCACGACCTTGGTGCTCACCAACGGCTTCTAGCCATCTAGGAGGCATGATCTTCCAGAGTAACAAATGCTTCACAATATCTTAAATTGCTACAAGTGTTCAAGGCATGGCTTAATCTCTATTGCTCGTTGGTTTGAATCTCACTCAATCCACCGCTTGAGTTTTGCAACTATGGATCATTCTCATAAAAGAGAGGGTGTGGGGAGTGTCTCATAAGGCTTAGAATGTCTACGTGAGGCATCAGAGCAGCACTCAAATAAGAGGATTTGTCGGTATTGAAATGATTGATATGTCGCCTAGAGGGGTGAATAGGAAAACTTGAATTTTCAAACTTCGTAGCGGATTAAATGGCAATGATTAGGAATTCTAGTCCTCGGAAATTTTGACCTTGATCAGGAATTTTGACTTTGTGAAGAACCTAATCGATCTACCAATTCAACCAATGGAATTCAGATCTACTTTTACTACACGTATAGGGGAGTATGATGAGCAAGTCCACAAGATGGTTTTGACTAAATGCTTCACAACAAGTAGATCAGGTTGAAACAATGAAGAACAACAAGAACAACCAAATGATACACCTGATTTATTTTACGAAGTTCGAATGCACCTTCGTGAATTCTACGTCTCCATTGAGGAGCTTCGATCCAAAGGGAGCCAGATTTCTTTCAACCGCTTTCGCCACTTTGCTATTCGATTTGTTCCCTCGCGGAGATGAAATCAGAACTTTCACAAATTTCCCGTGGCTTACCATCAGCTTAGGAGCTCAAGCTCACCGAGTAACTCCTTGTTGTTCAGGAGGCTCCACCTCCAAGACTAATAAACACTTCACCAAATGCTTGACAAGATCTGCAAGTGCTCGAGGGTGGGATTGTTTTATTTCTCTCTAGATCACCCAATCCCTCAACTCAATTCTTTCGATCTCACAAGAATCAAACAATCCTCACAAAAGAGGGAGAGTCCAAATGGCCTAGAAAGATGTTTCTCTTTAGTTTGGGCTAGGTTATGTAGTTTTGGGTTTGTCCAAGCAACCGATCACATTTGTACAACGTTGCGCTGGCTTTATTAGGTGCGTTGTGATCTTCACGTAAGGTTCTTTGCTAGTTGGGTCGTAGTAGGCTCGTTATATATTGGTTAGGCATGTCTTTTGTTTTGGTGATAAATGAAATGCCCACGATAGAGAAATATTTGTTAGTAGATTGTCAGTTTGATATTTTAGACCTCGCACAAGCATCAACTGGAATCCTAGGTCCAGAAACCACCCGGTGTGAAAACTACACTGAGACAACGTCGAACGCCAAAGTGCCAACTCGCCGATGCGCCATAGAGACACAAATCTCACATGAAATGGTAGCCTGTTCGCTTGGTCGTAAACGATCGTGGATTATAAGTCAGAACAATATTTTTCTCTCACACCAAACCAGCCAGCAGTAATAATCCACGATCGTTTCAGCCGAAACGATCTGACATGTAAAAAACAGGGAGAGTATATGGGTGTTAATTTTTTTTTGTTAGGGTTGGGTTGGACCGTGGAGCTCTAGGCTCTGAACGAATGAAATCAAGGGCTGGATGATGGCTGGGCACTATCCTGATCCTGACCCAAACGGAAAAAAAGGAAAGAGAATACAGAAACCAGTCGAGTCTGAGGACCTCCACCGCCTCCAATGGCTCCATCTCTCTAGTCTGTACCCTCGGAGAGGGCTGGGCAGGGCACAAGGCAGACCGAGGCGGGGGGCGCCTCCGCATCGCCGCCTAGCTGGGTCGGTTTCCCCGCGATCTCAAGCTGGCTACCCCGCGCTCCTCCCACCATCTCTCCGCTGCCGCGGCGGCCGCGGCAGCGGGGGTCTCGTACCCCCCGCCGCTGCCCCCCACGCCGCCCAGCGCGGCGGCCTCGACGTCCGACATGGGCGCTGGCGGCGCCGCCAAGCAGATCGTCGATTCCCTCCTCGCCCGCTTCCTCCCGCTTGCCCGCCGCCGCACCGAGACCGCCCAGGCACAGGTCAGCTGCTCCCTCTCCCACTTCGATTATGGATGATTCCACGATTCCATTTCCCACCCTATGCGGTCTCCTCTGGGCGTTGCCACTCCGCTGTTCAGAAGAGGCTCACCTGGCAATTTGGTGACAAGGCATCATGGCCATCGGTTGGATTCGAGATCGCGGCGCTACCATTACCATTACCGATTGTTGTGGCAAGGCTTCCCACCATTCAGGGATTTCTGGCTAACTTCTTCCTTCTCCAGTCCCTTGTCCTGCACTCGTGAATTCCATATCATGTTACTCTGCTCCCTTGCAT